CGTCTCCGTTTGGCAAAGTGATCAGCGTAAGCCCGCAATCCTTTTGTCAGCCAAAGTCAGGCGACCCAGAAGGGATGTCGCCGGCTGTCAGAGAATACTCGAGATATCGGGGCTGGGCTGGGGAAGGTTGCGCTTCAAAGTGCTCCGAGTCGAACAACAGCCTCGTTTATGGGAAGAAGCAGCTGTGTTCATTGGAGCGTCCCCAGGTTGTCAAAGCTCCCCCCGGTAGACAATAACCCAACTCGGTTTGAATTTGGCAAATCTGCAGTCCGCTGTGACTTGGAGCAGCAAGCGGTGCCTTCTTGTGCAACGCCTGATGTCCTTGCTGCTGATAACGAGCGTCTGAACAGGATAAGCGGTGGGGAAAAAAGGGGGCCCGCTTCAGTCATATTCTTTACACTGCTCAAAGAATGACAAACGTGTCTGTACTTTCTTGAAGAAGAGCGTCTGGATGATACCGCCCCCAGGTGGCCGAGCACTCCACGAGGGGCGGGGCATTGGCCACTGAACTGAAGCCAAAACGGAAACGTCATTCTTTCGAAAATGCAGCGCTTCGATCGCACCTCCATTTTGTGTTTTTCCCGAACAAAAATAGCAAATAGGCAAATGTTATCAAGGTTTCGTCAAAACCTCTACCCGCATGACTTTGACAATGTCGTCATTTGAAAAAGAATTTCATTGGATAAAAATGGAGTCGTACGCTTCCGATAAGCCTTGCCGAATTGCATCTTTGTTGCTGTAAATGTTGCTTATTTGGATTCAGCAAACTGCTCAAGTCGCCAATAACCCAAGCGGTCGGTGTCTGCCGCCACGTAGCAAACGCTGGCGCGTTCCGTGCATGGCCTCGTGTCCTTCCCGCTGATAATAAGCGCCTGCCCGCTTCCTGCTTTGATTGGGAAAGCGACGGGCCCGCTGTGCCCTGGCGGCGGTGGCCTCTGAAGTCAATCCTCTTTGCTTCCCTCCAGGGGTTACCGTTTGAATGACCCGATCAATTTCTAATCAAGAAAGACCAGGAGGCTCTCTCGTGCCGTGATGTACTTTGCTACAAATCTTCCCTATGAGGAAGGGGGTGGAGGGGGGCTTGTTAAGACAAAAAGGGCAGGTTGAGTGTTTCTAGCCATCACTTTGCTCTAATTGATCGTACGCGACACAGCGTCGTCGTCGGGTTTGCAAAGAGCACGTCGAGCCATACCAATACTAGAAAGTCGATATATTGTCATGAGGTCATTTTTGAAAAGATTCATCACATGATTTGAATCATTCAATTCCTAATACATGCTTCTGTATTCATAAAGGGGGAGAATAGCCATTGATATTATGTTTATTTACACAAATAGTACGCAGACAAATAAATCATGTTAACAGTGTCAGGTTTACTTGTGGCCCATGCTACATAGCCAGGACTGAAGGATTGTGTACACGTGTGTGTTTCTGATGGCCAGAGTATTTCACACTAAATTCATCTTTGCAGTGTGAGACTGAGGGAAAAAAAGTTGTTTTTTGTTTTTTTGTTTTGTGGTATGCTGTATTCATGATGTCACGAGTACAATAAAAGTGTGAAACAACATATTTCTTTTCTTGAATAAACTTGGAGTACACAGCTGCTGATGTAATGATGTTCATTGTTCATGCCTACTTTTCAAACATTTACTGGTACCCTTTAAATGTTGAGTATCAGAATTCTTGATTATGAATATCAGTCAAAATGGGTTCCCACGATGAACGTTTACGGAACCCCAAATGAGTTACCGTGGTTACCCATCGGGTAATCCAACGGAACCCAAAACCGCTTTCTGTGAATTTCTGCCATTCTCAGGCCTGCCTTGCCAAGAGCACCGAGGTCATTTTCATCGCATTCATGAAAATTCCGTCGGAAGCTTGATTGCATTTTGTCCTGCTCTTGAAACGAATGGTATTTGTTCTTCGTTTTCATGTTGTTGCGGTTTATTTTGTGTAGAAGCTTTATATTTGGTACTCACGCTATTAAGACGATCCTGCAAGTAAGCGGAAACTAAAATGTCCTTCTGTTTGCATTTTAGGTAGATGATTAACTGAACGGATGAGCCGTCGGCCGCCGACCTCGTTGCGTCAACGTGGGAGCGAGGCGAGCCGCATGAACCTCATTAGCCGGCCCGGACGATATCAAGCAGGGAGCAGCAGGATGTGATAAAAGACGTCGGGCAAAGCAAAGATGTGAAAATCAAGAAGCGGGAGGACGGACGTGTCGCGGCCGAGGACGGAAGCGCTTCTTTCCAAACAACTTGCGCAAGTTCAAATGATTCCGATGCGATTTTTATCTTGGGCGCGCTCAAGGTTCCGCATGAAGTTGAAAACTTTGGCGCTGCTGTTGTGCATCGTGACATGCACCACGTTGTTCTTCAGCTACGCCTTGCGAGAGCCCTCCGGCTACAAGTACGCCTTGCGCTTGGTCGCCTCCACCGAGGCCCCGTGCGCCTGTCGGCGGTGCCTGACCGAGGCGGAGGACGACCCCTGGTTCGCGGAGCGCTTCAACCGGTCCGTTCACCCGCTCATGGCCAGGGACAACAGCGCGCTCTCCGACGAAACCTTGAAATGGTGGCAGGTACCCGGGGCCGATTTTCATCCCTTGGCGTTTTGGAGCGCTTGTCCTCATTAAGGTCGTGGGGAGTGGCGGCCACACGGGGTGGCGTAGGAGCTGCGGTATGTTTTTCCTTCGCTCTGGGTGGGCCGCGATGGGGGGAAGACAACGGGGCGTCTCGCACAAGTGCGCCAATCGAGCTCGGATCGTCACTGATGAACCGGAATTTGTTTTTTTGCGAGGATGGTGCTTCCCGATAAATTGCCTGCACCAAATTTAGCTCGCCACATGCAACCACCCGACCACGTTTGTAGAGAAGGCAGCCGAGCGAATCTCCCTCCTATCCCGCATTCACCTCACACCGTGTCCAATTAGAGGCCGGGGGGGGGAGCGCAGGGTTGCCTCTTATCACAAGTGATTTGAGCAAATGCTTCTCAGACAAGGCCCCATGAAGCAAATGTTCCGCGTGTCAACAGTTGACTGGCAGTGATGTCAAAGGGTGTGACCTTTGCGTGAGTCTCAGCTCATTTTATTTAGAATACAAGTCAAAAAGCTGCACAGAACGCAAGTCGGCCTATTTCCTCCAATCGTGCTTTGCTCCGCTAATCGCCGCTGTGCCCACAGTTATGTCGCAAGCCCGTATGAACCGCGCTGCCGAGCAAAACGGCAGCAGCCGCCGGAAAACGTAAACGGAGTCTCCGATGAATTAAACCGGACGTGGCATGTCGGAAACGAGTTCCGTTATTTGGGGCTTATTCGATTTGTAGTCGACTCCGAGGCGGGTCTCTGCACCACGTTGTGCGCATCCGCGCAAATCTTGCTGGGCGCCGTGCGGCTTTTTCGGCAATATGGCCGTGAAGGTCTTGTGATCGAAAGCCATTTCAATCCAGCGGTCACCTCATCAGAACGCGTAGAGTGTTTCACGGACGTCGGTCGAAAATAAATTCCGGTGGGCTCCGAATGAGCCGTCGTGTGGAAAAGTCTCATCCTTTCCATTTCCAGCCTGCTCGGCACAAATGGCGGGGCGCGCGCACACGCTGCCGGCCGCATTTCTTTTATCTGCTGTCTCAGCGAGTTGAAAGCCACCGGAGACGAGCGGGCCAAAAGCTCCCACCTGAGGACGTGTCAGTAATGTGTTGGCCTCCTGAAGCTCCTTTGCCCTTGTTCAATCGCTCCCACTTAAATTTAGCCCGCAGCAAAGTGCATACTCTGAAGCCGCTTTTTGTGCCCCCCCCACCAGTCGCTACAGTTGGAGAAGCGCCCGGCAAACTTCAGCGAGGTGGTGGAGGAGCTTTTTCAACTCATTCCCGACGACGTGCTCTACGCAGACGCCGGGCCGAACCGCTGCCGGACCTGCTCCGTGGTGGGGAACTCTGGGAACCTGAAGGGATCCCAGTACGGACGCCTCATCGACGCCAGTCATTTCATTATAAGGTAAAACAAGCCAAGAGATTTCTTAGATCTACACGCAAGAGATTTTTTCAAGCAACTTATTCCAAGGAACGAGAAACAGTTTTTTTTTTTTCAATGCGCACGAGTCATACAATGATGTGAAAATTGAACTAGCCATTTTGAGAAATCCAATCCAGATCTGAGAAATGTACCAAAAGAACTGATGAAAAAGTGAAAAAGTGTCCCAGTGGAAGCACAAGAGGCTTGCATTTCAAAACAAATATATGGAGGTCTAGTAATACACATTGGGCGACTTCAAATCAAACCAATGAACTATTAGAGGCGATATAAATCCTGCGGGTAGTAAAACTTGCACTTGCACTTGCTTTTTTTCTTCCCAAACATGGCCGCTGCAGCACAATGTCACGACTAAACGGCATTACTGCTTATCGTCCGGCCCAGCCGCCGTTGTGACAGCGCGACGCCATTGTCTTGCCCGTTCAATTAAACGCCACCGCCACCGCCACCGAGACGCACGTTCTCTACCCAGCCATTAGTGCAGCGCCTTGCTGCATGGCGCTGGAAATATATTCTCCGCTCTTTTTAATTCAGCCCAGCATGATATTTGCAGTCATGCTTGGTTGGGGAAAGGAGCCAAAAGGTCACAGCAGCCACACAATACGCTTTCTAACAATGCAATACATACAGTCGTTCAGCAAATAAAAGCTCCAACGATGAATTTGTTTGTTTGCAGTCAACGACCACGAGCAATTTGCATTCTATTGTGATGTGAACCTATCCTGTTATTCACGATTAAACTCACCAGCCGATCTTAAAAAAAGATGCTTTGTCGGCATCTTGGTGCCAAGCAAACGTGTGGAATTGAGGAAAACGCTTCAGCCCTGTCAAATAGAAATAAAGTGCTTTACTGCCATCTTGTGGCATCAAAAGGCAAGATATAATACAGTACACACACACACACACACACACAGAGCCAATAATTATGCTATACATGTGACATTCTTTTTGGCAAACTGTAGCGTTATATGGCCGTCCGTAAGCATTTCCAAACAACATTTTGGGAAACACAGCTGAGTCAGTGACGTGCTCCTCCGGCAATGTCGTGACATCATTGCTGCCTTGTGCGTCATTTCACCGTTGATCCTTGTACTGCCGTGAACTGTTCTGCATCTCAGCATTTACAGAGATGTCTTTTTTCCCCATTATTAAGATACAAAAGCGCAGATTCTTTACGAGCCCAGCAAAAAAGAACCTTTCTGTTCAACCCTGAAATCTTTTATGCGTCTGATGTCTCTAAAAACGCTCCTCTCTGGGATTAGTCAGCCAGAAGCGCGCAAACATTTCGAGAACTTAACCTTAAGAAGACGGAGTGGCGGCGGCGGTCAGCGTGTGAAATGAGACAGTAGTGAAATAGCGCTGACCTTGAAAGTGTGACTTGCTGATTACGTGTTGCGTGAGCTCACGCCGCACTTCAAACGCAAGCGCAACATTTGAGGCTACTGTGAGAAATTTCTGGGAAAATAAACATGTCAAGGTTACTTACATCGGTTGAGATTGTCCCAAAAACATATGATTGAAATATTTCGTAGCGCTTTAGTAGACTCAACATCTTGAAATGTTAACTACCGGTACTTGTAACAATAGTGACTTTGTGGGGGCCGGCGCAAGTGATACAATGCACTTACGTTTAATTCATCTTTAAATGTTGTTCATTGTAATGTGTTATTCACAGACAAGTGTAAGAAGATGGGTGGAATTTAATAGAACGTATTATTCTTCTATTCTTAATATTCTTGTTATTATTATTGAACTTTTTCAACTGGAAAAGTGCGAGTCGAAATCCCCACGTCCTGAACTGGTGCGACGACCAGCGCCCCGGCCGCCGTCAACAAAGATCCAAATACTCGGTTTTGATTGCCACCATCTAATAGGTGTGAATGGAGACTGTGATTTTACTGTCATAGATGCTGCAGCAAGGTCTTGGAAATGTGTTCAAAGGGACACAAATCATTCGTCGTGGTGACTCTCGACTCGGCTTTCTGGCCAGCGGCTGCATTTTAGCGGCTGTGCAATATTTTCTCAAGACCAAACCATCTATCTTTTCCGCCGCGGATGGAAAGTCGTCGCCTTTTTGCCAAAGGGGACCTGTTACGCGAGTTTGACATTTTTGGGTGGAAAATGACGGCAGAGTGAGTATAATGAGCAAAATGATATCGCCGAGACCTCAGCGGACAAGACGGGCCATGTTACTCCGAGGTGAGGTGGGGCTGGCGGGGTGGAGACAATTCATCCTAATCATTTGTCTCCAACGGCATCCGACCGCCTCCCAAATTCTCAGCCATGACCTCTGCTGCAGGAGAGCGTATTGTTGGGTGCAAGAGCAGGGAGCCCGGCGTTGCTGTGCTGCAAATGGACATCGGGTTGCTCTAAATTGCTGTTTGGGAGGCCAGAAATCACCACAATGGGATCACATTGTGCTTCTATTGGAGCGCTTACGTTGTTCTCAAAATAACCAAGTAGGCAAGTCACACGCGGGTCGTTTTTCTTTTCTGTTTTTACGCTCCAGAATGAACCAAGCGCCCACGACTGGGTTCGAGGAAGACGTGGGCGCCAGGACGACGCATCACTTCATGTATCCGGAAAGCGCCAGGGATCTCGACAATGCCACCAGTCTGGTGCTCGTCCCCTTCAAGACTCTGGACCTGCAGTGGATCATCAGCGCCCTGACCACAGGCACCATTAAAAAGTATGCGCAACTTATTCAATCGACGCTCATCAATATTTCGGTATTAAGAAACAATCATGATGATCATGTGATTTCTTTTTTTTTGGTTCACACAAATTGTAGTTTGCGGGGCCTTAAACACTCATTGAAGGTGGAACAACTTTAAAATATAAACTATTGGCATTTATTACGTTGAAAGCAAGAGTAATCCTCCAATAAATTCCTCCCCCGCCTGATAAATCCTCAATGGCCGCTGGTTTAATGACTGAACCTTCCTGATAGTAAAACCAAAAAAAAAAAAAAACAAGATAAATGTATACTTCTGCCCATAACTTGGCACCAGAGGTAAACCCAGACAAATGTGTCTCATAAAAGTGCAGTTGCTGCCCGAGTAATCATTCTGCATCATTAAATGTCATTTTACAAGCCAAAAGACTGCACCGTATAAGGTGGAATTGTGTGTGTGCGTGTGTGTTTAAAGTGCACTCTCCGTCTCAAGATGGCTGTCCTGAAGTTGAGCAAATTGAGATTTGGGAATGTACACAAACTATACAGCTTCCATCCTATTAAGAATCATTAACAAGAATGAACAAGATTTTTTTAATCAAAGTTTGTCCTTCGGCGCGTATTTGTGCTGCTCGTTCTTGGGTGCCTCCTACGGGAAGTATAAGATATATACATAAGACATATTGGGATATACTGTTTTGGAAACTCAGCTCCTCTCTCAGCCTCTCAGTGCGGCAGTAATATTAGTTGTTTTTCTCAGAGGATAAATAATATATGTCTGTGAGCAATTTGTTATACTTTCGGTATACATGCGTTTTTTCTCTGCTTGTGTTAGGATATCCTTAACTCCGCCAGTTGCAACGATGCAAATTGTTTCTGTTTATGGAATTTCCTATTGTGTATTAGCATTAATATAGAGGAAGCTATGTGGTTGTTTGAAATACATCATGTGAACTTCAACTAGGAGTTGCAATCAACAGTATCTCTCTTCTTTTTTTTTTTAAGAATATTTCCGAATTATAACAGCCAAATTGCCACTCATCAAGTCAAAGCAAAAATCGCATCACAAACAAGCTGGGTCACTCATATCTCAATGCACCACTGTATTTGTTTTATAGCTACCGCCAAAAGCATGACAGCACATGAAATAATAATTTTACAAAAGAATTCTGTAGCTGCATAACCTTATTTTTAAAACAATACACTTGGCTTGATTTTTTTTTGGGGGGGGGGGGTCTGGATTGCATACACTGAAAAAAAAAAAGTCTGTTAGATTTACATAAGAAAACAGTTTGGATATTGGATACATGCATTAATTAAAATCATGTTTTACCAAAATGACTATGATTTTGTACAATATTCTTGTTTGCGGATCATGATTTTAATGTGTGCAACCGTTGCCCATACTTTTTTTTTTAATGTAACTCCCACAAAGTCCATTTTCCTGTTTACCATATTAATGATCATAACCACGACATCCCATCTCCCTCATTGGTATGCCAATGAAGTGGACCAGCTCGTGAATGCTGTCCAAGCCCCGCTGCGCTTTCGCACGCCTTATCTCCCGTTTTTACGCTGAGGTTTGCAGTTCGGTCGCAGTGACGCGCACATGAAAAATGATGCAAACATTGTCCAATATAATCCAAGCGCACGTGAATTTGAAACGTCCTCCCGTTGCATTTAATCAGCTTTGTTCGAGCAGGCGTAACAACGGTGACACCGGGCCATCATCACTTAAATGAGATGGAAGGCATCTGTAGACTACTGCATAACGGATGGCAGAAACGGGCTGTAAAATGTCATTGATGGCTGTTGTCCAGGTAATGACAAAACACACTAACCTGCTCTTTGTTTTGTCTCTTCCCTAACACGCAGCACTTACATTCCTGTGAAGTCCAGGATTAAGGCAAACAAGGATAAGGTCATTTGATTTCCCTTTCATTTTTTGGGGGGTTTTGAATCAAGTATTTAATTTGTCTGCAGTTATACGGCAACGCAGCAATATCCATCCGCAGTTCTCAATACTGTGCATGAGCACACACTACAGTAGAGTATAGGGGTAAAGAATATGTAAACGAGGAGATGGGCAACTAATTGGTTGACGATTACTACCGAGGTGTTTCAAATGTTCAATGCAAACATCGTTTTGTGTGTGTATTTTGTGTCGGATTTTATTCCAAATGAAATAAGTTTATTTGAAGGCAGCGGGGTGGACTCGCGGTTTAGACGAGACCAGTGATTCTGAAAGCACACACGCCAAGCACTTCATGAGGTTACACCTGCATCGTCGAGAGATTTGGATTGGCCCCACGGTGCAATTCCAATAAAGGGAAAACCGCCACCGGAATAAATTCTATTCTGCTCTCAATAATTGTTGCCTTATCTCTCTTCTGAAGGTGTTGATTTACAACCCGGCATTTTTCAAGTACATCGACGAGTCTTGGCTAAGGGGGGGGCATGGACGTTATCCTTCCACCGGCTTCCTCGGCTTGCTGTTTGCTCTCCACATATGTGACCAGGTAACGCGAATGCCACTTTCATCGCGGAACAATTTGCGCATACTTTTGCGCTTCATATTGCAGGTGAACGTGTTTGGATTTGGCGCAGACCAGCACGGGGACTGGCACCACTACTGGGAGAAAAACCTCGAGGCCGGCGCTTTCCGAGACACCGGAGTCCACGATGGAGATTTTGAATATAACGTCACGCGTCTTTTGGCAGACAAACACAAAATCAGAATGTTTGAAGGGAGATGATGGCACGGGGTACTCCTGCGCCATGCGATGAATGTCTGTGAAAAGAGGAAGATCTTTTTTCGATGTCTAGCTTCCTACTTTTTCTTGTTACGTGATGAGCCTCTATTATGTGCTCAGCCATGATCTAAAATTGGAGCAAAAGACGCTGGCCACTTTATGAGGTACCTGGTCGCATTTAAAAATCACGCGTGGGCACGAACGGGAATCCTCAATTTGGACTTTAAAGGACTGTCGGTCTTTATTCTTCTCTCAACAAGACGGCACAGGTTCCGTTTTCCCTTGTGGAGGCAGCACGTCATCACCGAATTACACTTTGTCACTTTACCGTAAATACGGCCCCGCCGCATCGAAAACCTCATCAAGCAGTCGATGTGAATCTGTGTGCCCAGCAAAACTCGGTGCGGCTCTGCTCTGTGTCCAGACTGCAAATGAACGGCGCTTGTCCAGCGCTACCGCTGGATTATTTTAACGACAGTTACGTAACAGCAGGCAGAAGTGAAGAACAGCACAAGTTTGACAAGACGGTGCTTTTTCATTTCGTACCTGGCTGGGCGGGTAGTGAAGAGGCCCAACTGTTAGTTTACCAACAATCAAAAGTACATTTTCTATATGAGGTCCCCGTTAACAGAATAGCTAATAACAGGGGCAATGTTTACAGTATGTGGCAAAAAGAGCTTCAATGGTGACAACAGATTGAACATCACTCTTTGTTAAAACGATTCAACCAATTTCCCGCAGATAATTAGTCAAAGAAAAAGCGGAACGCAATCTGCAGTGTGGTGCCTTATCTGTAACCATTTGCATTTGGGTCACACAATTGAACAAAAAGTATCAAGTGCCTTTACCGAGTTTGGCTTGTATTCTGATCAGTGAAGTGAAACGACATTATTCTTCAAGCTCCAGCCGCTGTTCTGGAAAATATTGACTTGACGCATTCCACAGAATAACGTGGACGTTAAAGTGTTGATATGATAAGAACCTTGATATTTACTTGGCTGTGCAGTTTCAAGATAAAAATGATCACTCTTGGCTTGAAATCAGCACTGATGATGATGATGACGGTACGTCGGCAAATGTGTGATTTTATGTTTTGCTTCTTGTGCCTTAAAACCACTCGGTTGTATTTTTGTCCTCCATATGAGAGCAGACTAATTCCAAATGAGCTGATGGAAATGTCATCTGTTTGTATGCTGCTGCAAACATGTCAACAGCGCCACCAGGTGGGCACCAACTTTCACCTATTTCAGGTTTTTGTTTTGTTTTGCTTTTTTGGGTGGTCATACGGTTGTGTGTGAACACTATTGCTTGTACGACCTAAAAATGAAATAAAATATTTCTTATCAATAAGTGGAAAAAAATTGTCCCTTTGTATTTGTTACCTTAATACGGCATTATTAGGTCACATTTTCGACAGTGACCCAGCTATGAAAATGACATTTTTTCCCCATTTAATTTAAAAGTGCATTGATGATTTCATGTGCTTAAGCTGAAGAACTCAGCAGTCTCCAATGCTGAGAATAACCAAACTACGCATTTGTTTCACTTCACGCACGCACGCACAAACATTTTCTCCCCCCAAAAAATCGAGGACATTGTTCGATAGGCATTTTAGTGACAAGCTAAATCTAAAAACAGTATTCCATACCCACCTGTTTTGTGGAAGCTAATATATTCAAGAAGCATCATGAGGTAAAATAGACAGACAAGGCTTCTCTTGATAAATATAATCTCTCTTTAGCCTACTCACACAGTGAGTAATAGAATCACAAAATGTCAAAGACACAATATGTCATAAACTGCAATGATTGGCGGACTGATAATGTTATGAACGAGTTCATTGTTAATTAGACACTCGTGAAACATAATCTGATAAACCATTATAAAGGTAGTCTGCAATTTGGAAATAGAATGGGTTTCAAGAGACGAAATCAAATTGTAAGTCAAGACACCTCACGTTTTGTTTTGAAACGAAATGGAGTTCAATGAAAACCTACCTTTCAGGGTGGAGCGTTATCATGTCACTTCAACTCACTTGTTGGAATGCATGAAATCAGTTGTTTTTGTTGAAGCTCAGATGAACATTGCTCTTGGCACATTTCGACACAATCTGACCCTTAAAATTGGACAAAGATGGAGAAAGAAGAAATCACTTTAGAAAAGAGCAGGTATTTTTATCGATTCAACGTGTACACACAGTTCCGTCCGTAAATGTCACAAACAAGCTGAGAAACTTACTTTCACCGGGTTTGGGAGTGTATTCCTCATGACCTCATGTCCCCACTATCACTGGGACAGCTCCCGAGGAGCACTGGTCCGAAGTCTGCCTGCTTGCTTGGTTGGTTGGTTGGTACAGGAAGATACTGCGTTTATTTTGAGCTCTACAGGGGGGGAATAAAATCAACTGAAATTAGTTTTGTAACTAGACATATTGTTTTTGAAAAGCTTACAGATACTAACCACCGGTAGTTGCAAATGGTTTATTCATCAGTATTTTTCTCAACGAAAATTTGGAGACATTTTGGTGGTTCTTGACAGGGTAAGATACGACAGTGGGTTATTACAGTCAAACCTCGGTTTTCGTCCATAATCCGTTCCAGAAGGCTGTTCGAAAACCGAAACCGCGCTCTTTAAAAAAAAAAAAAAACGTTTTTATTGAACACGTCCGCTCACAATGGAAAGCGACACGAGGAAGCGTCACTACCTCGTGTAAGGAAGGCGAGAGGAGTCCAGCGGTGCATTCAAGTGCGCTCAGTTTGTTGTCATCCGAGGTATAAAAAACTCGAAATTTTTGGTCGAGAACCGAGACGTTCGCACGGTAAAGCTGAGTGACTATTATTTTGTTCCGATGAAACAAGCGATTGTGGAAAATCAAAAAGTATTTGCTTCTTAGGATTTCCAACAACACGTGTCCACATCTAGTTACCTCATCGGCTCAATCCACCACGTGACAGATCACCGTGCGACATAATAAAATGTTTCATTCAAATATAATGGAAAAAGGTTTGGCATTCCGTGTAATAATAACAAGAGTTTAAAAAAAATGAATACAAGTATTCCACATGATGAAGTCCTGTAATACAGTATAGCAGTAGCGCTTGGGCGCCATCTTGTGGCATCATGATCCCAACGAACTATGGATAATTGAGTTGAGGAACTTGTGGCATCTATAGATAAATACCGATAAAAATAACTCATAATAATATGAGACTTCGATTAATCTAAGACCACATATGTGAGCTTTTATAAGAATGTTTAGAACAATTCAGAGTGAATTTTCTTTTTCCTGCAAACTGGATAATCTTTTGTCCCAATACAATTGAAAAACATTGCCTCATAAATGATGTCAGGGAATCGTTCCTATCGGTCTCCATTTTAGTCCCTTCAGAGCAATACTAGATTTAGGAAAAATATAATACAATGATTAAACTAAATTTAAAATGAGTACTGTGAGCAGTTGTGACTTAAATGCTTTTGGACTTTTTCATGGCAGTTTTGTGATGAGAAGTGAATGTTTTCTCGATCAAATGCGAGATCGGGTGTTGTTGTTGTTGTTATTAATGTAAGTCGAGGGGTTCGTAGGTAGGTATTATTATTATTATTATGTTGTTGTTGTTGTTGTTGTTTCTCTGTCAATTTAAGTTGATCTGTGGCGCCATGGTCGACTAGCTAGCATGTTCGCCTTACCGTGCAGAGGTGCGTCGTTCGATTCTGACTCCGGCCTTCCTGTGTGGCGTTTGCATGTTCTCCCAGTGCCTGTGGGAGTTTTCTCCGCGTACTCTGGTTTCCTCCCACATTTTAAAAAATATGCATGGCGGCTTTATGGAACTCTCTAAATCAGGGATAGGGAACTCTGGTTCCTTGAGAGCCATATTCGGCCTGTTTTCGAGGCATCCCTACTCCAACACACCTGATTCAAATGATCAGCTCGCCAGGAAGCGCTGTCGAGCCTCGAAACGATCAGGAACAATTGAATCAGCTGTGTTGGAGTAGGGAGGAATCTAAAACGGGCATGATATGGCTCTTGAGGAACCGGAGTTCCCTACCCCTGTTCTAAATTGTCTCGAGGTGTGAGTGTTAGCGTGAATAGTTGTGTGTCCCCTGCGATTGTCTGGCCATCAGTTCAGGGTGTACCCCGCCTGCCGCCCCAAGACAGCAGGGGTAGGTTGCAGCACGCCCGCGACCCTTGTGAGGAGAAAATGATTCGAAAATGGGTGGGTGGATGGATTCTATTTGTAGTTATGAAGACGAACGCTAGGGACAGTGAAGTGTATTAGAGCAGCCAGAAACGCAGTCGAGGAAGATCGAAGCAGCGGCATTACAGGTTCTCAAGGAATTAGGCTTATTTGGCCAGTATATAGTCTGAAACCTTTATAAGAAAGATATGCCAAATGAGAAAAAGAACTACTTGTTTTCTTCATTTTAATAGTGTGTTCGATATAGGTAGGTTCCCAGTTTTTCTTCGTAAAAAAACGGAAAACGGTCGACTGCGGCAGACGCAGCCTCATGCTAGCTAATATGGCTAACCGCGCCGCTCTGTGTAGCAGCTAGTTTTGAATTCCAACGATTTCCTTTGAACTCCACGTTTCCAACAAAAAGCTACACATCACCATTACTCGGTACGCCCGTTAAGATAAATGTTTTAATCGAGTCACCGTTCATTAATTGTTCGCGGTAAAACCCGCAACATCCTTAACATAAGGATCAGGTCATTCATTATTATTTAGTGTTATGAAATGATGTATTGTTTCGTAGCGGTATTAAATAATGTTAACGCAGGCAAATAGCTCCTCACAAAAAATGTTTAGGAATACGAAGCGACTGAAATATTTCAGTCAATCAATGGTGAGGCTTCATTCAAAGACATGCTTCTTAGTTTCATTGCAGACAAAACTGTCCACAGCATGGAAAATCCCTTTGGTCACATATGTACCCTTGTTATTGTAAAATGTTAATGTTTGAACATGACTGTTGCCAGACGCTGAGGGCAGCCTGCCGCCATGTATGCCGTGCATAGGCAGGCCCACACGCCCACCGCCGTGGAGTTCTCTGTCTACTGCAACTTCATTTCCAGCAAGGAGAAAAATCTCGTTGTCGCGGGGACGTCGCAGCTTTTTGTCTATAGGATTATCCACGATGTTGAGGTATTTGTGCAGCACTGTCATCAATTTTTCAAACCTAAACAGGAAGCTTCCCCTGAGATGTGATTTGTTTTTGTTTCAGAGTTCGTCAAAGTCTGACAAGCCCTCAGGTATGTCCAGATACTATTTTCCAAGCCTTCTTGTAATTTGATTTATTGTGATATTAATTCATCTCATTGAATGCCAAAGCTCGCAAGGAGAAGTTGGAACAGGTGGCCTGCTTTTCGCTCTTCGGCAACATCATGTCCATGGCCAGCGTGCAGCTTATAGGATCCAGCAGGGATGCGTTGCTCCTTAGTTTTAAAGACGCAAAGGTTCAAGCAATGTACAATATAAAGTCATGTTTTTAAAAAAAAAAAAAGGATTTTGTAAAATGTTTGTGTTCTCTTCCCAGTTGTCTGTCGTGGAGTATGACCCGGGGACCCATGACCTGAAGACCTTGTCTTTGCATTATTTTGAGGAGCCAGAGCTCAGAGTATGTGTATTTGCATAGTCACCCATCCATACATTATTCGCTGACAAACAGTATTATTAACATTATTGATTTTGTGCCATGGTGCGGCATCTTGGTGCCACCCAAACAATCTCAAGTGAGTTGAGTAAGGAGTCAAAAATAATACTTTGCCGCCATCCGCTGGCATATGCTGTATAGGGTTAGGTTCGTTCTTTTCACCTGCAAATAAGCACAGTAAGTGTTTAACAAATAAAACCAAACCAACCTTTTTACATTTCAGGATGGCTTCGTACAGAACGTCCACATTCCCATTGTCCGCGTGGATCCGGAGAATCGCTGCGCCGTGATGCTCATCTACGGCACCAAGCTGGTGGTGCTTCCCTTCCGGAAAGACACGCTGACTGATGAACAGGAAGGTGGAGTTGGAGATGGGTGAGCGTGTCGTCTAGCCAATTAATTATCTATGTGTACTGAGGAGTCATATTAAGCTGTTTTTTTTTTTTTTAATGATTTAAAACACTTCTCAGGTGAATTAATGGCGGTAAACAGTGTGTTTTGTGGAGGACAGGCAAGCGCGTCTAGACTATTATTAAAAGTTCTAAATACTTCCTATCCGTGTTCCTTGAAGACCCAAATCCAGCTTCCTCCCAAGTTACATCATCGACGTTCGTGAGCTGGATGAAAAGCTGCTCAACATCATCGACATGAAGTTCCTCCACGGCTACTACGAGCCTACCTTGCTCATTCTTTTTGAG